CTGGCTGGGCTCTGCCTGCTGTGTCCTTGGCCACTCTTGCCACCTATGTAATTGGGGCAAGCTTTTAGGCCTCTGCGTCTTCGTGCATGAAATGTAGGCAGTAGTATTTGTCTTCCACTTGGTGGTTGTGAGAATCGCATGGACTATTCTGAAAGGATTTATGTGAAGGAATATCAGGATTATTATTAACAGGTATTATTTATAGTATTCTTTATGTGCAAAGCCCTTCTGAGCTCGTGTGTGTGTGTACAGTCCTGAACCACAGCTGTAGTGTGGACCATCTGCCCGACACCAAAGGCCCTGACTGTTGATCGCATTTGTTCCCTCTCCCCCATCAGCTGTCCTGTGTGTCCGGGGTCTGATTTTAGCCGCACTCTGCCTGTCTGCCCTCCTCTAAGCCTTTGTCCAGTCTAACCTGGGGGCAAACTCGAAGTCACCACCCTAGTCAAATGGGAACCGAGAGCCCAGCCAGTGTGACAGCCTGCACGTCAGGTCCGACGTTAAGTCTGTGGGTTGTAGATACCATCACATAGTCTGCAGCCTCCATTTGCCTCCCTGTATGAGAGCGATGGAATGACTTTCTCATGGGGGCTGTGAGCAGTTACCTGTGGGTACTCTTTGGGAAGCACTTGGAAACTGCCTGTGTTCTTTGGTACCATGAGGCGTGCTGGGAGCCTAACAGGAGGGTGAGAGGATTTTCAGCTTTCAGTGATACGTTTGCAGAATAGGTATAATCATTTCATTGGGCTGAACGCTCTGAGAAGGAACATTTCCTATTGGTTTTATGTACCCCCTTCACCAGTTCTTTGTGGTCGCATCTCTGTTCCTTGTTCTAGCACTAGGACATTGTCTAGAGAGAGCCCTGCAGCAAAGCAGAGAGCCCTATTCAGCTCACTCCACAGAGCAGACCTGCCTGCCTTTATTATTTCCAGCATCTATGGATGTAGGGTTGAGGGAGCAGGAGAGAGATTAGGATTACGTCTGCCTGCATTTTCACCCGAGCGTACTCTTGCTCTCTGGGTTCTTTTCAGGTTTAGGTCACAATAGGTGTTGGTTTGGCCTCGCTCTGGTCCTTTGTAGACATCTGCCCACACCACAAAGCCCCCACGTTTGGCACAGACCGCGGTGATTGGCAGTGCCTTCCCAGGCAGAGTCCAGTCCTGGAACAGTGGGGGTTGCAGGTGCATTGGCACGTGGTGGTGGGGAGCGCACGCGGGCCTTGCCTACCCAGCGCCTGGCGACACTCGGCAACACCGTCCCATCCCTGAAATATCTTGGCCTTGTGGGCTTGTCACTCCAATTAAAACTTGAACATGAAAGCAGCCCAGGCTGCTGCTCCCATTGTGCTGCCTCTGAGTGTGGCCTGTGCCAGCAACATGACATGGAGACCGTGGAGGGGGTGCTGCTCCTCAGGGGTCCGTGCTCGGGCCAGGGGTCCACTCCTTCAAGCCTCGCACCGTGCTGCTTTACTGCTGCTAAGTGCACCTGGGAGGCAAGTTTCTGTTTGCCAACAGAAAGTCACCTTTGGGATGGCGGGGACAGTCATTGTGCACATGTTCACAGGTTTGCCGTGTTACCAAGCCTCCCGCTCTGACTTCTCTCTGGCTGGGACTTACAAAATAGTCTCTCTGGCTGATTGTCAAAAATTACATCATATCGGAGTAAACTGCTTTTAAATCAGCCATCCATTATTCATGTATATTAACTGCTTTTTTATTTTTTTATTGGCTGTTTTGTGTATGATTTACTCTTTTCTCACTAGGCGCCCCCCTTCCTCCCCAATTGTCTGTCTTTCTCATCGTTTTTTTAAATCTTAGCTCATCTGTGAATTTATAGAGGCTGTTCACTTAGCTTTGTATGCGAACATGAATATGCAGACCCTGCATTTTTTGTAGTGAAATTTTTAACCACATTTTTGCGGGTCATATTTATGTTGGGTCAGAAGAGCAACTTGGGTCATTTATATGAGTAAATTCTACCCCAAAGCCTGAGAAGTCTTTTTCTTCTGTGTCTTTTTTTTTTTTTAATGGGCATTACTAGTCTTACACTTCCAGATCTGTACTGAATGAAACTGTACCTCCTACTTCTGAAACAGCTAAATATGTTGCCACGAGTGCAAAAGCAAATGGACTTAATGTGTTCATTTGTATGCGTGAAGCAGATCTCTACTGTCGGCCGGTGTGCCGTGGGCCTGTGATCGACAGATACAGGCAGAAATGTGTAGCACTTACTCATTCTTTCATCAAATACATATTGAGTCCCTCCTTTGTGCCAAACGCAGCACAGGTCTCCAGGAAATATCTGTCCACTGCAGACCATAGTGCTGGAGGGTCCCCTGGGCATCTGGCATCTTTGTGGTCGTGGTGCATTGCCCTGATCCATGGCACTCGTCTGTTTGGAAGAAGGACTGGACGCGGTCTGTTCTACTTATGTAACCCCAAATCAGCATTGTTGTTGTAGATAGTCAGTATTTGCATACTTTTAAGCACATTTACCTGAATCTTGGCTCACTGTTCCTTCCAGCATCTCAGGCTTTTTTTTCTGGACTGATTTTCCATCTTCCAAAAGTATATTCTTTACAAGTTCCTTTAGTTGAGGGTCTCTTAGGCACAGGACTTCTCTGTGTTTTTATCCCAGAAACCTATTTCACCTCAGTCTGAGGTAGTTTTGCTGGTCCTTTCTAACTGTAGGCTGACAGTTCTTTTCTCTCAGCCCTTTGAGGAGATTATTGGTTTTGACTGCACTGGGGCCACCGGGCGCTTGGCTGTCGGTCCAACGGCCTTTGCTCTCAGGACTCTCTCCGCTTCTGTCTGCTCTGAAGACCTTTTCCTTACTTGTGTCTGGTTTCTCTCTGATGTCTGTAAGTGTGCATGTACTTTTATTTTTCCCGTGTGGGATTTCTTGTGCTTCTCTCCTTCCAGTTGTAGAACATTCTGAGCCATCGTCAGTTTCCGTCTCCCTCATCCTGTCTGTTCTCCCGTCTGGAAGTTGGGGTGGATGTGTATTGGACCAGCTTGTTCTCTGTGCTGTCCACTGCTCACTCACACTTCCCACCTCTGCCTCTCCACGTTGTGTTCTGAATGATGTCTTCAACTCTGTCTTCGGTTCACAGGATTCTCTTGGACTCTAGTTGTTTAACTTATCCGTTGCCTTTTTAATTTCTAGAAATTCCATTGGTTTTGTTTTTCCCGAGGCTGCTTTGCTGCTTTTGATCCCTCACCCTCTTTTATTTCTATAAACATTTTCAGCATACATTTTTTTGTTTTATTTAATAAATATCTGATATCCTTGGAAGTCTGATTATTCTGTTTGTTTTCTACCTCTCGTTTATGATTTGTTTCTTTCTGTATTTAGGATTTTTTTTATGAGCTCATATTTGGCTGGTCTTGATTTGTAGGTTTCCGAAAGGGTTGTGAGAGGGTCTTCTTCTTGAGAAGACTCTGCCAGGTACCAGGAGACAAGTTACCAACCTGAAAATACTTTAATTACTAGGCATGAGGATTTTTGGCCCTGCAGGTAGTATAAATTCAGAGTCTGAGCCTGGGTGAGGACAGACCCAGAGCCCACATTTTCCATCCTGAGCTGAACCTGAGGCAGACAGGTTTCCAGGTAGGCTCTCTTTGCCAGTGGATTGGCTTTTTCCCCGGTTTGCTTTTTACTGAGTGTGCCTATCCATACAACGGCCCCAGTTGTAGGCAGACATCTCGGTTCTGGTGTTCCATTTGGTGCTGGCTGGAAACTTTGCCTCCTCTTTCCCCAGTTCTAGGCTCCTGACGTTGGTAGACGTCCTCACAGCAGCCCCTGACATGAGTGCCACTTCCTTTTCTGGTTTTAGCGCCTTCTTCGTTTTTGGCTCCTCAGAATTTCTCAGATTTCCTAGGAGTTAAACAGAATGTCTGAAGAATGTTTAATAGACTGAAACTTATCCAGCATTTTCAGTGTTTGTAAACAGGAGGGTTTTCCACATATTCTCGTCTGCTGTGTTGTCAGGGTAAAACCTTAGCCTGGATACAGTTAGGGTGTTCTAGAATCTGGATATTCTGGAGAGAGATCTATGGAACCTCCTATTTTGAGTAGGATAAAGTGATTCTTTGTATGGGCCAGTAGCAAAATTAGGCATCCCGAAATGGGGGCAGGATGTGTCAAGCAAAAAAAAGGCATCTCTGGGTATTTATTATGAACCAGACTGTGGTGAGCTCTGGGTTTGCCAGATACCATGTACCAATCCGTTAATCTCCAAGCACATGCTGCTGGGTCCTTGATCAGTGCTGCGGGAATGAACAATAGCATTTTGGCCCCAAGGAACTTTGAGCCTAAGTCTGAGCAGTGTTTTACAGCACGTGGTGTGGTGCTTGGTCACGGAGCCTTAGGTGGTCTGCCCAAAGCAGTCTCCAGTATTTGAGCACACAGGTCTGGGAAAAAAGAAGCTGATGCGCAGTTCAAGATGGCCCCTTGGGAACACCAGCTGAAGTGTGTAGCCAGTAAATACCTTCAATACTGACAAGAGGGGATCTTGTCAAATTGAACTCTGCCAAGGGCACAGAGAGAGCATGAAATAAGCTTCATTGGCATGGAAGAGGAGAGAACATGAGGGTTATTTGTTTTACTCTCTAGAATTTGGCTTCTTACCATGACTGTCCCCCTCAGAAGAGCAAAGTATGTGTGGTAGTGATGGGGGTGGCTTCTGAGGGAATCAAGAAAGAAAGTAGGTAGATTTTGTCATCTCCAAGGATTTCAGATATCCTCTCCCACACCATGCCTTTTATCTTTGACTCTCTCAGCCCAGCATCTCCCAACCTTTAGCTCTCTTTGTCACTTCCCACTTTTTAAAATGGTGGCAGACAAGTGATCTTTAAACCACGGTGCTTTTTTATTTTTTATTTTTTTTAATTTATTTTTAAGATTTTATTTATTAGAGTGTGTGCACAAGCAGAGGGAGTGGCAGGCTCCCCGTTGAGCCAGGAGCCCAATGCGGGACTTGATCCCAGTACCCTAGGATCATGACCTGAGCCAAAGGCAGATGCTTAACCGACTGAGCCACCCAGGTGTCCCCCACCATGCTTTTTTAAATGCCACCATCTTGTAAGGAAGCCTTCTGACCACTCCTCACTCCTTTGGAAAGGCAGTGCTAGGGTCCTGAGGAGGTGAGCCAGTTGCTCAGGTTGCTGGTGTGATGGCTTTGGCAGATAGAGGAGTATGAGGAGGACTTACTGTTTGGGTAAGTTTAAAATCAAAACAGAAATGGAGCTCCTTTCTTCATTCATCAGTACCTGACCAAAAGTCTGGGACTACAAGGCTCTATAATCTCTTCATAGTGATTTCTGTATGCAACTGGGTCCTGTTTCATTATGAAGGTAATAGCAGTCCCAGATTTAGGAAGCATTTGCAGTGCGATACTCAGTTCTCACTGGGTGGGCGAAGGACCTCACCCCACTGCAGGGACAGTAGCCATTTCTTAGCTCTTTCCTTTATGCTTTGGTTGGAAAGCCATTCCTGGGCACACTCCATATTCCGGGTCACACCTGGAAGGTACAGGGCCTACCTGCACCAGGGCATCCCAGCTGTTGGCTCTGGGGCTGCCATCTCCTTCCTGACTGTAACCCTGCCGCCCCTGCCATTACAACACCAGATGCAGGCACATGGCTGTAAGGTGGGTCTCCTCAGAGAGGCAAGTCCCATATATGGAGGAGCAGGACAGCTGGGGGCCGTGCAGCAGCTGGTGAAGAGGTGGACCCTTTCAGCTGGCGGCAGGCTGAGGCTTCTGCACGTCAGCTGCCGTCCCTGGTCATCCCAGTACCTACTGCAAAGAAGATGAGTAATAAATATTTGTTGACTTAGCTGTTGAACGAATTACATTATTGGTCTAAAAAAGTAGAAACAACCCAAGTAGCCATCAGTATGAAATTACATATCCATAGAGAAATTCTATGCAGCCATTAAAAAGAACAGGATCTATCTCTAGACACTAATGAGGAAAGGACTCTCATGTTGTTTAGGAAAAACAAATTGTAAAACAATATAATCCCATTCAGAGGGGAAAAAAAACAGTTTTATACACAGAAACAGACAAGGCAGACGTATGTCTAGCCGTATATACACCGACCTGCTAAAGGGGGGTTATTTCTGAGATCTACAGCAGGTTACCACTTCTTGTTATGTCATTCTGTTAGAATTTGTTACAAGGTATATTACGCTTGAAATCAGAAAAAAAATAAGTTGTTCAAGAAAACGATTTCAAAGAAATCTGAACAGCTGCCGAAACTGAAAGTTTGGATTCTAAGACTAGCATTTATGGAAGTACTTTAAGGTTTCTAAGAAGAAGAAGAAGAAGAAGAAAAAGAACTTTCTGCTGAAGTTCTTTTTAAACGGTGCTTGTTTCCATCAGGTGCCCTCTCGATAGATCTCTACCTGGAAGCCGAAGAGCAAGGCCATGACCCAGGGTCCTCTGACCGCACACGCATCTCCTGTGGTTCTCTCTGGAAAGTAGATGCCAGTCCTAACCTTGTCACTTGAGATCATTCTTAAAATAAAACTTTGCTCTGTAATCACTTTATGTAGGCTCTTTTGTAGCATACACTTGGTACTTAAAGGGAAAAATCCCCAGCAATATCTATTGATTTGGCGGTCACATTAGTGCAGAACATTTTCTCTGAGATTTTAGCTCTGGATTGTATTTGCCTTCTTTCCAGCATATCCATACACGTCTGAGAGGGAGTCAAGTGGCCATGGGTTGAGACTCACCCAACTAGGGCAATAAAGAGAAAAATTAGTCTAATGCATGGTCTTAACAAGAGGGGGAGTGTGAGCATGAATAATTAATCTCACTCGTCTGTGGCAATCAGATAAAATGAAGTCCCATTTGCTCAACCTTATTAAAAGAGAGAGAGTGCGGGAGGGAGGGAGGGAGAAATGGTAAAGGTCGTTAAGGGACTTTTAACATGGAAAGACCTGCCTCTGAGATGGGTAATGTGTTTTCTAATCTCTGTGGTCTTTAACTAACCCTAATGGTAAAGGTGCTCTTCAGATATTCGGATTCATTGAATTATTAAACATTTCAGAAAATACTTGACTCTTGACTACGAACTTTGATGCCTTTATGATGAATTTGCAGTCTTTCTGGAGAGGGATCAGATTTCCCTGTGTCACTCAGAGATGACCCCCTCCACTTGTCAAAAAAGAATGAGAAAAAGTAAAGACGGACTCAACATTAGATTTTCATTCTTACAGTTACTGCAGACATTTGCACATTAGGGGGCCTACCTTCCTACTATGGAAGTTGAAAAAGAAATTGAGTCTAAGAACTCTACCAAGATACAGAAGCAAAGAAAATTACCCTTATATGAGAGACCATGAGATTGCTGTTAATTTTTTTTCTCCCTCCTGGAGCTGATTTTATGCAGCTTTTAGGTTATTCACTATAGACCGAAGATTTGATTATTTCTATGTTCTTACTTGAATAACTTTTTTCGGGTATTTTAGAATTGTTGAAATGTTTTCAGATTTATTAGAACTATTTAGAATTCTTTGAGTTTTTTCAAACTTATTTTCAACTGCTTGAAAACAAAAATAAAACTTAGCTTGTTCTCTGTAGTCTTAATGGATTAGGAAGGCATTTTAAAATTTGAAATAGCCTCGGGGCGCCTGGGTGGCTCAGTCGTTAAGCATCTGCCTTCGGCTCAGGTCATGATCCCAGGGTCCTGGGATCGAGCCCCGCTGCTCCACGGGAAGCCTGCTTCTTCTCCCTCTCCCACTCCCCCTGCTTGTGTTCCCTCTCTGGCTGTCTTTCTCTCTGTCAAATAAATAAAATCTTTATAAGTAAATAAATAAATAAAATTTGAAATAGCCTCTTTTCCTTTCAGGTGCTGCTGGTAATAGTTAACATGACAGTCTTGTTTGAACTGTGAAGCATTTCCAAAGATTCACTTGTTAGAAATGTGTGTTGACAAGGAGATCATGGTTTTCGAGGTGGAGACCATCAACCTCTCAGTACTGAAATAAGAACCTGTATCCTGATAAATTGATAAATGTAAGGTTGAGAAGAAAAAGATAGCACATGATTTTCATGTGTGTGCAAAGGGAGGAGAATCTCTACAAAATATTAACATTAAAACTTTTGAGTCCAGTCATTTTAACCACATGATCAACAGAATAGAATGCATGCTCAGAAGTGTGTGTGTGTGTGTGTGTGTGAGTGAGAGAGAGAGAGAGAGAGAGAGAATGAGGAGGCTTTTGAACTGTGAATTCTAGGGCACAGGGGCTGTATCTTAAGTATTTACAACAGTGACTAATCCACAGCAAGCATTTTTTTTTTGAAGATTTTATTTATTAGAGAGTGAGAGATCACAGAGGCAATGGGAGAGGGAGAAGCAGACTCCCTGCTGAGCAGAGAGCCTGACACGGGGCTCCATCCCAGGACCCTGAGACCATGACCAGAGCCAAAGGCAGACACTCAAATGACTGAGCCACCCAGGCACCCCCCCCAAAGCAAGCATTTAATGTTAATTAATTGAATTACTATGGGTTTTTTTTTTTTTTTTATAAAAAAATTAAAAAATTTTTTTAAAAAAGTCTTTTTGATCTTCTTTTTTTTTTTTTTTTTTTTTTGCTGGAGAGAAAACAGAAATGTTCAATCATAATGAATACACTGTCTGGAGATCAAGGATACTTTATTTGCTTCCACACCTTATAGAACAGAACCTCCTAAAATTAGCAAGTGGAGAGTGGCTAAAGAGAGAAAGGTTTGGGAATGTCAGTTATACCTCAGTTAAAAAAACTTTTTTAACGTTCGGGAATAAGACTTTGTGTTTTGGTTTGTAGTTTAGTCTTAAAGAATCATCTGTCATGTAGTGATTAACTATCCATCCTGGGAATTTTTACCTTCTGGGATAGCAATACAGAGAGGGGAAAAACAAGAGAACACAGGCTGGCTCATCTGCGGACATCAGAAAATCAGAAGGCGCCTTCCAAATCCGACACAGTCAGTGACCCTTAGTTTCCGTGCTGCTCTTTCTAGGTTAGGAAATTGGGCTACTTAATGTCCCCATTTGGCATTTTCCTTTGTGTCCTATGATTTTTGTACCTTGGCCTGAGGAATTCTTTGGATGTTCTTTTGTTTTCTTTTGCATCTCCTATTGTCATTCTAAGAGCCATATCCCTATCCTGGAAAAGGTCAGGAAATTACTCACAGAACATCTCCGTTAAGGGGAGCTGCGTGACGGTGCCGGAATGAGAAGTGTTGGATGGAGGCCTGCTGTATGCAGCCGCACACCCACGTATCTTCCTTCCTTCCCAGATCCTGGTGTACAGCCTGGAAGCAGAACGCTGCCTCTCGAAGCTGGGCAACGCGCTTGGTGATTTCACTTGCGTCAACCTCAGGGACAGCCCTCCCAACCTCATGGTCAGTGGCAACATGGACAGGAGGTAGGTGTGAGTGAAGAGCCACGTTTTTAGCCCCAGCCATTTGTGATGGGGCTTTGCCCCTCCGCCGTGCTCGCTCGTTCCCTCTGTTGCTTGCACGGCTACATTCTCACTCCACAGCCTTGCCTGCCTCAGTTCAGCCTGATCCTTAAATACCATCTCTGTGAACTTGGAGAACAAAGTCTTGCATTAGGTAATAGTTGGACAGAGCTATGTCTCTGCCTCATTTCTGAAACACCATGGGAAGGTGGTCTTTTAAGCCATTTGGTGGACACAGTTGGTGGAAGGTCCAGTGAGACCACTTGGAATATCTTTTGTCCCCCTGCTGCAAAATTTGTTTGGCATTTAAAAGCTCACTTTCTAATATTAAAAACAATAACCTAAGGGCTGAATCGTGTTCAACAGAATGGGGTTGCCTGCCAAATGATGTCAAGAGTGTATTTCAGAACACTATGGTGTCCCTCTGGTGATGGGGGGAAAAAGGGACTTGATGGGAACAGATTCCAGTTTCTATTTAGCTGATTAGCAGTCTTCTCTTTAACGCTTTGGCTTAGGGAGTCGGATTTTCCTGCTACAGGGTCCAGTGCCAGCCATGGACGCTCCAGGAACCATCAGCACGAAAGGATTAAAGTGTCTGAAAAGACCCTCTGAGTCCAAATTTTAGGTCTTTTTCCCTCCCTGTTCCCTCTCCCCCTTGTCTTTTTTTTTTTGGCTGGTTAGCTGCCGTGTCTGATCCAGTGCCCCGAAGAGAGGTAGCATGGCTGGAGGCCAGGGTCTGCCAGCGCCCCCTCCCCCGGCCCGGCCCGGGCTGCAGGTGGTGGGCTGCTTGGTGGGGGGGATCAGATCGCGAGGCGGGCACTCCCGTGTGCCAAGTCTCAGACCTCGGCCGCACCAGTGCAGCAGCTTGCAAAAATAATTATCGTGTCAAATAATATTTTCAACTCCTGACCTTCACCCCGCTGCTACCCCCTTCCCTTAGAGCAGAAAGATGATGTGAGTGTGCTCTATTGAAAGAAAATTGTTTCTCAAGGTTTCCTAAAATGGCTGATAATTTCTGAGCTCAAGAATTAAACTCCTCAGTGTATGTCCAGTTTTTCTCTTAAAAAAAACAAAAACTAGGCTTGGTAAGTGGTCCCACATGTGGCCCAGCAAATGAAACCAGTCAGTTTGCAGTTTACTTCCATGTTGTAGTTTCCAGACTGAGCCGTACAAAGGCTCCACGGTTATCTGGTAGGATCTCCCCCCAGGGACAGAGCCGCTACTACTCTCTTTCCAGGAGAGCAAATGCAGAGGGCTCTCGGGGGCATCCAAATGGAAGGGTTTAGAACCGTAGGTTATGCTTCAGAGTTTGTTTACAGCATGAGCATTTAGGTGTTCAACTACAGCGAGGCTCCCAGGAAACCACCGTAGTGTTCCAGAGAAGAGGTCTCTAGTGCCTGCATAACGTAACCCCGTAGGCTGTAGGGGGACAGTTAAAGCCACATTGTCCTGACCCTTGTCAGCTGAACGTGTCCTGCCATTAGGAGACTGACAAACTCCGTAAAGCTCCTAAAGCAGGGCTGCCAGAAGAGGAGCTAAAGGCCCTGTGTAAAACGGCTCTCTGATCATGTTCAGGTGTAGATTTGCCCGTGGGAAGTCTGTTTCCTTAGGAAACCAGTGTTGCAGTGTGGGTTTTGGTTTGTTTTGTTTTTTAATCCTCTGTCTCTGTGGATGTAAAGAACAGACTAGTGGCTTGGAGTTGAGAAGGGGGGTATTCAGAGTGGCGTTTCATCAGGGCAGTCCTAGACCTGTGCTGGCTGTTTGACCGCTGCTGGGCTGTCAGGGGCTTGCCGTTGTTCCTTATGATCAGAATAGTAGTGAAAGCAAAATGAATTTGAAACACAGGGGTTAAAAAATTATACATCTGGAAAAAAGAAAGAATAAGGAATCTAGACTCTCAAATCTAGTAGAGGGAAGGGGTGTGTGTGTGTTTTCAGCAAAGGCTTACTAGCTAGGAGTCGGATCTCATTAGAGATGTACGCACAAGGCTCTTACAGCTTATGTTTTATCTCAAAAGTGGGAGTAAGGGGTCAGATACTATGAAGAGAGCTATGTACTTGGTTGTCACTTAATGGCCGATGCAATTTTAAAAAACTGGAACCCCCCCCTTTTTTTTAAACTTAATTTCTACTGCGGTCTCTTAGTGCTCTATCAAAAGATACATAAAACTGTCACAGGTTAAGACAAAAATAATTTTTCATGAACGTAAGGAAATTAGCAAACATGGAGTTTTGTAAGGAGTTTTTTTTTGGGGGGGGTGGGCGGTGAGGCTAAAATTTAAAGGAAAAGAATAGCTCACCTAGCATCTCACCCTTTCCAGAAAAGACAGAGTCTGATAAAGACGAAGAGAATGATTAGGGTGGAAATAGTTATTGTTGGCTTGTGCTTCTCCCTGGCACATTTTGTCCTTTCCTGCTAAACCAAGAAGAGCGAGGAGTAACATCAGGAGTGCGCTCGTGTCCGTTCTCCTCACCACAGTGTCCACTGCTCAGCGAGTGCTCAACACCAAGTTTTGTATTTAGTTGAAGATGCCCTTTTTACATCTTCACAGCTGTGCAGTCAGGGCGTGTCCTTTATAAGGACATCTTAAAATTAATTGGCAGCATTTTTAGATGTTACACAAAATAATGGTGCTTATGATCAATGGTATTTTCAATTAAATGAAAGTACGTGTTTGCTCAATGAAGGCAAAATGAATTAATGGCTTAGGAATGATAACACGAGAAGTCTGAATAGGTTACCAAGAGAAAGACTGAAGGAAATAGGCCACTTTGTCGTTGTTTCAGTTTAACCTCTGTTTGGGGTTCACTGAGCATTTCAATCTGTGCATTTATATCTTCTACCAAATCATTATTTCTTCAGATGTTTTTTCTGCACTAATCCCTTTCTCCTCTCCTTTTGGGACTCAATGATGTCAGACCTTCTGATATTATCCCACAGGCCACTGATGCTCTCTCTGTTCATTTTCTTCCCTAAACTCTCTGTCCTTCAGATTGTTTAATAACTCTTCGATTTAACTTCAGGTCCAATGACTCTTTCCTCTGCTGTATCCATTCTCCCTACTGAGCCCATCCAGTGAATTTTTTATTTCAGATCTTTTGAGTTCAAAATTTGCATATAGATCTGTTTGTCTGCCCAGAACATCATTCTTTCTTACCATTTTACCTTTATTGATGATTCCCCAAATCTGGGTTATTTGTTTTTTCCCTTAAGAGTGGGTCACATTTTCCTGGGGGTTTTTTGGTGTTTTTCTGTTTGTTTGTTTGTTTCTGTGGGGCGGGGGGTGGGGTGGGGTGTGTATGTCAAGTAATTTTGGATTGTATCCTGGACATTTGAAATGTTATGTTGTGTCCACTTTGGAACCTGTTGTATAATCCTCTGGAGAATGTTAAGATTTTTGTTTTAGGGGGCGTCTGGCTGGCTCAGTTGGTTAAGCGTCTGACTCTTGATCTCAGCGTCTGTTCAAAGCCCCATGTTGGGCTCCACTCTGGGGCGTGGAACCTACTTTAAAAAAAAAAAAAGATTTTTGTTGTAAATGGGCAGTGACCCTGGTTAGGTTCAGACTGCAAGTTCTATCTTCTGTGACTGGCGATTCCAGTGTCAGCTCAATTTTCAAAGGTTTTGTTAATGCTTCTCTGGCTCTGTCCCACACATAATGTTACTCAGGGGTTAGTCTGAGATGGTATTGGTTTTTTATTTTTTTAACTAAAGTATAGCTGACATACAATGTTATATTAGTTCAGGTATACAACATAGTGATCCAATAATGTTGGCCATTTATGCATTATCACCAGGATAAGTATAGTTACCATCTATTACCATACAAAATTCTTGACTGTATTCCCTATGCTGTACTTTGCATCTCTGGGACTTATTTATTTTATACCTGGAATATTGTACTCTACCCCCCCCACCCCCGACAACCACGAGTTCTCCATATTTATGAGTCTGTTTCTGTTTTTTGTTTGTTTGCTTGTTTTGTTTTTTAGATTCTACATCTGTGAAATCATATGGTATTTGTCTTTTTCTCTTTGACTTATTTCTCTCAGTATAATACCTTCTAGGTCCATCCATGTTGCAAGTGGAAAGATTTCACCTTTTATAGCTGAGAATATTCCATTGTGTATATATACCACATCTTCTTTATCCATCCATCCATCAATGGACACCTAAATTGCTTCCATATCTTATTCTTGTAAATAATGCCACAGTGAACACAGGAGTTCATCTTTTCAAATTAGTGTTTTTGTTTTCTTTGGGTAAATAACCCCCGGTGGAATTTTTAATTTTTTGAGGATCCCCCATGCTGCTTTCCACAGTGGCTGCACCACTGTGCACCAGTTTGCATTCCCCCTAACAGTGCCCAGGGTCCCCTTTTCTCCACATCCTCGCCAATGCTTATTTCTTTGTGATACTAGCCATTGTGACGGTGATGAGGTCATATCTCATTGTGGTTTTGATTTGCATTTCCCTGATAAGTGGTATTGAGCATCTTTTCATGTGTCTATTGGCCGTCTCTGTGTCTTCAGAAAAAAGGTCTATTCAGGTCGTCTGAAGATGGCAGTGTGAGCTGAAATCTCCGAGCCGTTGCTCTGCCGCATTGGAGCCGTCCTGCGCACAGCTCGGAGATAAGCCTGGGAGCTGTGTGGGGTCTGGTACAGACGGTAATAGGCTCTCCTTCAGTTTCTTCCTCTCTTCATCCCACCACTTTCCAGCCTTCAGGAGCTCCTTTCTCTTGGGCCTCTGACCAGAAGTGAGGGTTTCTCTGTTTTCCCTGCCTGTTTCACTACCACCCTGCAGCTCTGTGGTAACAAAGCAAAAGAGAGCAGGGGAAATCCCCACAAAGACATCCCTTCCCCAACACACACATTCTTGGGACTGGAAGGGCCCTTTCCCTTGGTTCTTCAGAAAGGTGGTGTTTCTTTTGGAGTTTGAGCTCTTACACCACCACAAAACTCTTGGAG